CGCCCCTATTGTTCCGCCCCCGGCCTCCCGCCCTTCCCCTTCCCGCCCGCTCCCCTTTTCCCCTCAGTCGCCTCTCGCCTCCAGGTAAGCTTAAAAATTTCTCCTCCGCCCCCGGCTGTAGCTTCTCTTCACTCTTGCCATCCTTCTTAGCGGACTCCGGCCTGAACCACAAGCCCGGGCCTCTAGTAGTCCGCGTGAGCGCCTACTACTTCACTCTGCCTGGCCGGCCATTCACGCGAGGCCCTGGCTCTGGCGCGGCCTAGTAGGCCTCGCGCAAGGCCTCCCCCCCCCCTTCCCCGTGGCGGCTGCGCAGGAGTCACGGCGGGCGCGCGCGCGACAGGGGGGGCGGCGGAGGATTTGTTGGTTAAGGGGGGTGGGGGAGGCGATGGCCGGCTTGCTGGCCTGGCTGGTGAGCGCGGCTCCCCGCGGGGTCAGGCGCTGGCGCAGCCACACGAGGAGGCGCTACTAGTCCAGCCCCTCCCCCTGGGTCGCAGCGCCCCCCCCCGACCGAACCGTTTATTTTCCCCCCTTTCTAGTCAAGGGAAGGGGGGGGTGTTAATCTTTAAGTGGAAAATGCTCGGATGACGAGGTGGTGGTGGGGGGGCTGCAGAGTTAAAGGGTAGGCGGGTTTCCAGTTACCGAGTTACTTTGACATTCTCTCGGATAACGAATTTTGAAATTACAAAATGCCGGCCGCTATAAACCGAGACCGAGCTATTTATAGAGGGGTAATTGACTGTAGGATTAACAGCTGGATTCCCGGGATGGGGTACACTTAGGTTGACCTACTGAGGAGCGAAATATGACAGATTTTTCGGATTATCTAGACGGCTTGGAGTTAAAATACAGCTTTGCGTTTGAGCGAAATGGCTTTATAGATAGTTTTCAAGTTTCTTGCCCTTTTGAACTTGTATCACTGTTGTATTTGTAAAATGCTTATTACGTTTGAGTGAGGGTAAGGAATGAAATCTGCCCGATTTTGACCGTATCTTTGAGAAAAATTCTTACCCAGTACTGAACAAGCACCATTTTTCCATGAGTGAAGGTGTTGATTTGTGAGATTTTGGCATCAATTGTTTTTGGAAAAGATGTGCTTTGGAGATACATTTATATAATCAAATTCTCAAGTAACCAGGAGACGATTTTTAATATAGAGTGGTGTGGTAGCTACTTTTAAAAGCTTTAAAAATATTTAGGTTGTGGGGTTTGTGTGTACAGGAAGGTAAAATCTGGCTGCTTTTTATGAAGGAGCAAAATTAGTTGAGCTAGATCACTGATGGTGTTTTGAAGGAATGCTACTTACAATGGCATTGGAGAAATGGGAGAAATTTCAGAGCTTGAGATTCTTCAAACCTATCAGTATTAGATGCTGAGAGGAGGGCTTGAAGGCAGAGATAACCAAAGCCAAATCCTCTTATCTACCCTCCGAAGAATAGAGGGTGGTATATTAGTACTGATTCTTTAAAGCAGCAAATAAGTTCTTAGGACTATCAATTTTATTTTTGTTTTTGTATTAAAATTTATGATTTGATATACTAAACTGAACGGTGGTAAAAGAAGGTTTGAGGGAAGGAATGGTAGAAAAGGACTCAGGTGATGGAATCAAATTTCTAAGAAGAAAGAATATAGAACCCCAGCAATCATGGAATATATGCCTTTTTCAGTGAGTTTCTTGAACTAAATTCTTATTTTTATTGCTGTTCTTATTTTGAGACATCCTCACTATGGATCTCTGTCCAATTGTTACTCAATATGTAGATCAGGGTGGCCTTGTCAAAACCTCCCAAGTTCCGGGGTTACAGTAGTGCACTACAGATCTGAACTAAATAATTGCATTTGTTGTCATCATTTGAGGTTTTTTTAATGTGACTAGATCCCAATTTTTTTAGAAATTGCTACCACATTTACATGTATTCTCTACCTTCCCAGTAGGGAAGGAAAGAACATTCACCTCATTGTAGTTGGTTAGTTTGAAGTTTGTCCAGCTGTTTTTTTTTTTTGTATCCTTTTCAAAACTTAACTCTGCTGAATGACAACTGGGTGCATGTTCAGCAGTTTCCTTAGAACCATTACCAGTGGAAGGAATGAACCTTCCTCATCCTGAGAGTCAGCAGAAACCCTATCATTAATGAGCAAACTGGAAAGCTGCCTTCTATACTCTAACAAAACCTGAGCTGTAAGTGTTATGTACTTGTTGTGATGGGTGTATTTACAAGTCTGATAGGCTGTCACTTGAGAGTCAATTAGATAAAATTGAAAATGTAAATAAAAGTAACTCTGGTAAATAATTCCTTTTTTTTTCCCCTCTTATTTTGGTCATGTTTACATTTCAGTTTTTGGCTTTCACCCCCACCAGTGACCAAAGACTTGACCACTCAAAGTCCAGCTCCTCATAACTGCTAGACATGGACACCGGTGTGATTGAAGGTGGATTAAATGTCACTCTCACCATCCGGCTACTTATGCATGGAAAGGTATGTACCAGCTTGGCAAATTGGGTCATAGTAACTGCTACGGGAGGGGCCAGGAAGAGCAGACAAGCATCTTGGAGCTGATCAGATTAACACTGTGGGACATCTGGCTTTAGCACTCTTTAATGGAGTGGTGGGAACATGCACAGCTTTTACTAGGAAGCTCCAGTGAACAAAAAAGACTTAACAAGAAGTTGGAGCCAAAGATAATCATAGCTAGTTGGTAAGAAGTTACAATTGCTGGGTGTGGTGGTGCAAGCCTTTAGTCCCAGCACTTGGGAGGTGGCTCTCTTTGAAGTCAAGGCCAGCTGGGAGACCTTTTCTCAAGAAGACCCCCCCCAAAAAAAGTTACAGTGGCTATTGCTATGGTTTATATCGGTAAGTTTATCTTTTTGGTGGTGTTGAAGATTGAACTCAGGGCTTTGAGCATACTAGGCAAGCACTCTACCACTTAGCTATATCACCCAGCCCTCTTTGTGCTTTTTATTTTGAGGTACAGTCACAACTTACCTCAAAATCTTAATTCTTCTACTTCAGCCTCCTAAAAAGCTGGGATTATAGGTCAGTGCAAACAGACCCAGTAACATTTGGTATTTAAAAATAGAAAACAAAAAGTAGATTACATGAAGGTGGTATTTAATTGCTCTTGTAATTCTCCATTCTTGAATAGCTTCACTATGTATGAATTTTTGAGCAAGGAAATGATTGCTTCCTCTCCCTCATAATCTTAGTCTTTTCATTCCTTTGGGGTAGTCATTAGCATAGTTAGCAGTTGGTTAGATGAACATTAGAAGTTACTTTTCATAATAATGAACACTTCTGAATTTCCTCTTACCAACACTTAGTTTTCTCCATTGCAGGAAGTTGGCAGTATCATCGGAAAGGTAAAACAGTTTCACTTCAACTCTAGTTACTCTTTTAGTCAGTCTGGGCTGAAATAGCAATTGGAACTTATGCTTGACTTTCCCTTTTACAGAAAGGAGAATCTGTTAAGAAGATGCGTGAGGAGGTAAGTTATAAGGGACTGGGATTGTTAGCCTTGTAAAGTGAAAAACTTAAAACATAAAAGTTACATTTGAGAGATTAGAGGGGGTGGGGGAGGGGGCTAAGAAGGGAAAGCCTGTATTTTTCTGACTTAACTTGTAATGAGAAATAGTCTGATAGGAAATGAGTCCTCAGACCTCAGGCAGCTCTTCCGTAGGTGTTTGAGACAAATGTGGAATGATCTTTGAAATGACCACTTCATATAGGTAGCTTCTTGCCCATGTTATCTGGACAGATTCTGTACAGCTTCAGAATTTTTTTGTCGACTAAACTTTCTTTTTCTTATCCAGAGTGGTGCACGTATCAACATCTCAGAAGGGAATTGTCCTGAGAGAATTATCACTTTGGCTGGACCCACTAATGCCATCTTCAAAGCTTTTGCTATGATCATTGACAAACTGGAAGAGGTTTGTTCTTTAAGGATTATTTTTATGTTTTGATGGTATAGGTAGGCATCAAAATCAAGGACAAAAAGCATGTTAAGCAATTTAGCTACATACCTTCAAGCATTTTTTGTTTTCAGTTTTTCCAGACGGGTCTAATTTTGAAGGCCTGGCATTATCTAGTACAAGATGCCATTGAAGTCTTCCTGTCTCAGCCTCATAAGTGCAGGGATTGCATACAGGTGTGCATCACCTTGCCCTACCCATTGTCTCTCCCCCCCCCCAGTGGCTTTTTAAAAAGTAAGCCATTGCTTCCTTGATTTTACAGTTGGATGAACTTAATGTGCAACTTGGATACTATTGAACACCAGCTTTTTTTTTTGTCTTGAGACAGGGTTTCCCTGTAGCCCCAGCTGGCCTGGAATTTACTATGTAGACCAGGCTGGTGCCTCCCTAGTACTGGGATTAAAGGCCCATGCCTGGCTCCACCAGTATATTTTATTTTATTTTTTGGTATTTTTGAGACAGGGTCTCCCTCTAGCCCCAGCTGGCCTGGAACTCTATATGTAGACCAGGCTGGCTTGAACTCACAGAGATCTGCCTGCCTCTGCCTCTGCCTCTGTGCTTGGCTCCACTAGTATATTTTATAAGCAGATATTTTCTTCTATGTTTTTTTCTCTCTCCCTCCCTCTCCCCCCCATTTGTCTTATTGAGACAGGGTTAAGGAAGTTTTTCCCTCACTAACATTCAGAGACTGAACAGCCATTGTTCTAGGTCCTGTGTTCAGCACCATCCTCCTCCCCCTTCTGCAGTAATGCAGCTTAATTGTGCAATTGATACCATAGGCAGAAGAGTGCTGTTTAGTAATTGGCACTTAATGATGCCTGAAATCCTATCCTTGCCCAGATCAGAAATGTTATATATTGACCTTCAGGACCCTTTTTGTCCAGAATTTACAGCTTAAAAAACGTTTTAGAATACGTGCTGTTTGTTCTTGAAAAAATTTTATTCTTCAAGGGCTTCTTCTCACTGGTACATAATAGATTAGCCTGAGAAGTGATTTTTAAGCCATTGATAAGCATAACTTAGGTTAAAACCATGGTTTGTGATACAATATATTATAAAGAATATAGGCATTTTGCCAGTACAGGATTTTTTTGTTTCCCTCCTTGCTGGAGTAGAACCAAGGGCATCGTGCATGTTAAGCATGGAGTCTACCATTGGATGCTTTCCAACTAACTGCTAAGGGAGTCTTTATTTCGAAGTTTTTTCAGATATGAGCCCCAGTTTCGTTATATGTAGTGATCCTATTACCAGTAAATGAAAACTATCTTAGGAGAATTCAAGTCTGAGATTCAGTTGTAGCTTGAATGATAGAGTGGATAGCATGTAGGAAGTCCTGGGTTTTATTTCTAGCACTGCACAGAAAATATATAATTTTATAAGAGGACACTTAGTTTAAATTAGTTTGCATTGTTTTATCTTCTAATATTTAATTAAATTTTGCTTTTTTTTTTTCTTAAACTACTTTGTGTGTGAGAGAGATGCAAGTGTGAATGTACACGCATTGGGAGGCCCAGAGGAGTGTTTTCTTCCACGCTTCTCTCTTTTTTTTTTTTTTGGTCTTTTTGAGACAAGGTCTCCCTGTAGCCCCAGCTATCTTGGAACTCACTATGTAGACCAGGCTGGCCTTGAACTCACAGAGATCCGCCTGCCTCTGCTTCCTGAGTGCTGGGATTAAAGTCATGTGCCACCATGC